TCATTTTAGAACTTCCACCTTTATTTATTTATCGAGGTTATTACCATTTCAAAATAATGTTACTGATTTTTAATCAGTGCTTGCATCTTCAGTCCTACCTTTTTCATTGCACTATCCTTTATTATAATGCATTCTTTATTACCTCACTTATTTCCTAAAAATATTTTGTCATTCTTCTCATTATTTTATCTATTAAAACACATTACCAGTTTCTCTATCCTTATGAATTCTAAACCAAAATTCATTTTATGGAGGTCATCTCTTTCATTATTTATCATTATTTATCTATTATTTCTAATCTTGGTTTCTATCACTCATTGAAATATTATCCCTTTCAGTCTTATGTTTATATAAGGGTTTACACATTTACATATTTAAATTATAAATTTTTAAGGTTTTCATATTATGTAACAACCTCGCCTAACCTACCATATATTATCTACTTTAGGCCTTAACGCCCTCACGGTTTTGTTCCTGGTGGCGCAAGCTCACATTTAAGCCTGACGCCCTAAAATGCGTATGACAAGTAGGTAACCAACACTTTTAATAAGATCAGCTACCACCCCCTCACCCGACGATGTTGGATATTACAATCCACTTCTTTAAGGAGCCTGATGACCCTATTGGCACAATTGGATAGCCAGTAAGGTCGACTCTGATACCAAATGTAACAGCCCCGCCTAACCTGCGATATATTGTCCGTTTTAGGCCTTAACGCTTTCATGATTTTGTTCATGGTGACGTGAGCCCACATCTAAGCCTGACGCCCCAAAACGGGTATAACAAGTTAGTAACCAGCACTCTTAATAAGGCCGGTTACCACTCCCTCATTTGCCGATGTGGGATATTATAGTGGTGCTGATGGGATGCTGCCGTTGTGGAGGGAGAAAGAGGAGCTTTTGATGGAGAGGGATAAGTGTGGTGGAGAGAGTGGTAGACGAGCTTGTGAAAATATGGCTTGGAGGCTAGAATGATGGAGAGAGAGGGAGGGAGAAAAAAATTGCAGAACTCGGGGGTGAAGAGGCTAGTTTTGGGCCGATTTTGGACCTGATTTTTTCCTCCTTAGAGCATGAAATCCACTCCTATTTATAGGAGATCGAAGAGAGTAATCTTTTCTACATAGAGAAAAATTTTGAATCCTTGCTTTGGTTAGGGAAGATCCCAATCGTTGGCTCAAAGTGTAACTTATGAGTTGTTTAATATGCAGATAGAGGCTGCCTAAGATGGCCTGTTTAGGCCGATAATGGGGCCATCTCATTGCCATTCAGATTGAAATGTTCAGTTGGGGTTGTAAAGAAACTGTAGGGGATCATTTGCATACATGTTTTGTCAAATTTGATGGACGTTAGATGCATTAAATACACCTACAAAGTAGGTGATTGTACCAGTTTTTTCAAAAAAAAATCAAGAAGATAATGAACAAGGACCAAACGACACGTTATCTGGTCCTCTCTTTTTTTTAATACACAAAACAACGTCATTTTAGGTTTGAATTAGGGATTTTAACTATTTTGCAATTTAGTCCTTTAGCTTTCAATTTGTTTTAATTGAACCCCCTAATTGACCCTAAACTTGTGATTTAATGCAATTAAGCACCTGATGAACTTCAAATGGAACCCCAAAGTTACACACCTTTTACAATATGGTTCCTGGTCTTAAATGTTTTCAATTTAATTCCTAATTGACCATTAAACTTTTAATTTTTTCAATTTCACCTCTGGTTTTTTTCAATTAAGCCCTTAAATTTTAGCGTCTTTTGCAGATTGGTTCTTGGCTATCAATTTCTTCAATGTAACCTGTAATTGAGCCCAAAACTTCAATTGTCTTTCAATTTTGCCTTTTAATTTCAATCGATTAACTTGGTAAAAATTAAATTTGATCTCTTAAAATTTCAATCTTCTCAATTAAGCCCAAATTAGGCTCCCAAACTTAATTTTTTACTAATTAAGCCTAACATAAAATTAATTTAATCCATTTAAAGTATAATTAAGTCCTTGCACTTAATTAAATATTTTAATTGGACCCAGATTAATTCTTAAACATAATTAAAATCTAATTTGGCCCATGATTAAATTAAATTGGCCTATTAAAAATTTAATTATGTCATTGGACTTAGTTTTTATGCAAATTCGTCCAATAATCATTTAATTTGACCTTGAATTTATATTTTTTTTCTTTATTTTTGAGCATAATGGGATGCAATTATGCCTTTTATTTCCTTCAAAATTGCAGCTTGATTCCTGATTTGCTTTCTTCATGTTGTCAGCCTTTATATTATTTTTTGATTTTTTATTTTAAAAAAGAAATTGATTTTTAGATATTAACCCAGAATTGGGTTATGAGAATTTCAATCATGGTCAACTAAACTAAAATCAAGTGCTTCTAGATCTAAAATGATAGATATTTTAGGTGTCGAAGGAGGAAAAGTTATGAAGCATTTTACTCAAATTATGTTGAGTTACCCAAGTAGGGTTGACTTGGGTCATTTGGGTTTTACCAGATTAATTACAAGCCTAATTTTAAAATTACATAGTTAATCTTTGACTTTTAAAATTCAAAGAATGACCTCGGAGGACATTTTTATCTTTGCGCCATGGTCATTTTGTAATAATGGTGTGCCTTTGGGGCCTCTTTTGTATTTCATCTTATTAAAATATTAATAAATCAGTAAAATATACAGACACATGCCATGCACTCGTCTGTGCGTCAGAGTCCTTTGTGCTATTCAAAAGATTTATGAGGACAATTATGGTGGCTAGAAAAACTCGATCGTTGTCTCATCTAATGCGCAAGGATATGGTGTAGCTGTTAGGGTGGCATGTTTGCCAAGACTAGCAGCGAGTTGGTGAAGATGAGTTTTTTCTCTTGCCCTTCATTTCATTTCTCTCTCTTGGGCCTTATTTTTCATGCCAGACCTTTAAAAATTTAGTTGTGTCCTCCATTTTATATTTGTTTTGGGTTTGATCCTTATTCTTTTGATTTCTATTTACTTTGATTTTAATGTTTATTAAAGTTTTTTTTCAATTTTATCCCTCTTCGCATTTAATTTAATGTGCTTTTTTTTTTTGTATCCAATCTAGTTCTTATTATTTTGATTTTTTTCAATCCTTTGCATTTATTTTATTTTTTTGATTTTTTCCTTTAGAATTTTAATTTATATTTTTCAATTTTTGATCCTTATTTTTCTCATTACACCTTTTCTATCATTTATTTTGTTTTCAATTTAATCTCTTATTAGTTTCTTTCAATTATTTTTGGTGTAAGATTTGGTCCTTGTTGTTTTTTTTATATATATAATTAAGGATTTTGCTTTGTAATTATTTTTGCCTTTTATAGGGTTATCTTATTTTCATGAACGAGTCCACCAATTTTAATAATTTACTTAGTTTGAGTTCAATATTTTTTTTAAAACTATTTTTTAGATTTTTTTTATTTTTTTCGTTTGACATTGATTTATTAGGCTATGAGCTTTGTGATTTGTTCATTTTTTTTATAGGGTTATCCCCATCTCAGATCTCAAGTCGTAAGGTAATTGAGTTAACATGAGTTGATTCATTTTTTTTTTAAATTGAATTTTTATTTAATTTTATCCTTTGCCATTAAATTATTGACCCTTAAGTGTTGTTATTTTTTCCACCTTTCTTTATGCGAGGTTATCCTGAATACAGGATGATCAAGTATTTTAGCATCCCCTCCACGAATAAGTAACACATCTAGCTCAATGGTGACTGAATTGGGTATAAAGTCTTTTGTTTTTTTTCTCCTCTCTCCTACTTGATTTTCGTGTTGATCTTAAAAAAATCAAATAAACCCCTAAGGTTTGTTATACTTAAGATTTCATTCTTATTTTCTTCATTATAATTTTTAAATTTTTACATAATTTATGGAATTAAAGGTTTTTTTCAATTTATCTAATTTGGTTCATGTTTTTTTATTGCTATTTTTTAGATGGTTTTTGTAATTATTTTTTTTGGCAATTTCATTATTCTTTTGTTTTTTCTTTGTCAAATATAACTTTTTTTATTATTATATTTTTTCGACCTTGCAAGATTTTTTTTATATTGATTTTTTTATTTCATTCTTCAACATTTAATTAGATGGGTGTTAAACTGCTTAGTTGAGTCTGAGTCTAGAATTTAAAGATTTACTTGCGGTTTTTTAAACTTTTTTAAAGCTTTTTTCCCCATCCTTTTCCATCCTATTATTTTTTTTTGTATTCTATGAAATTTTTGTAGTCAATTTTAAAATAGCATAGGCCACTTTGCTCTTAGTTTTTTTGCTTTTTATTAAATTTAGATTTTTCAAATGAATTTTATTTTTGAATTGAATTAAATTAAATGATTTCATTATTCAACATTTAATTTTTAGGTGTTGAGCTTGGATCAAGAATTGAATGGATTATAGATTTAAGAGTTTAACCTAGGTTTATAAAATTTATAATGTTTTGATATTTTTTTTCTAATGAAAAATATGATTAGCTCTATTTTAGTTTTTTATTAAATTAAATTTATTGATTGCATTCCTAACATTTTATTTGAGGTAATATTTGAAAGAATTTTGCTTTTTATTTTTTAAAATTGATTTTATTTATTTATTGAGTTATTTTCGATATTATATCTTAAATTATAAATTCATCAGCTTCACAAGATTTGGCTAGACTTTGTTTTTCATTACTTTTTAATATTTTTAAATCTCAAATCAATTATTATAATCTTGATTCTTTTTTTTAAATATACATGTCTTGATATTTTTTTAATAAAAAATGATAAATCCCTAGTACAGTACAGACCACCTATTAAAGAATAATTATTCAAATGGTTTTATTCACGAGTTTTAACAACCTGATTTTGCTAATATTATATTTTTTAAGTTTATATTTTTATTTTAAGGATTGACGGCCGTAATTTTTTTAGTTTTTTTCAGCACAATCCAAGGCAAATCACAGCCATGACATCCCACCGGATCTGTCGCAGCCACATTCAAAATCCAAACACCCCACCCCACCCCCCACGCCCCAAAAAAAAAGAAGCCGAGGAAAACCCTTTTTGTTAGACTAAAAAAATCAACAGCACCCTGCAGTCTTCTTGCTCCCGCCACGAGCCATCCTCAACAGCAACACCAGCCTCCTTCTCTCCCTTGACCGTCAGTCGCCACCTTCACCAGCCCTTGACCATACAATTTACATCTTCCTCTCGCCATCTCCTCTCAATCGTGAGCTACTGTGACCCAAACACCCTCAGCCACAACAACCCAAAACCAGCCACCATCAGGAAAACCGACCTCCGCTGACCAGAGCCGCCTCTTTCTTTTCCATGGTCTCTGCCTCAAAACCGACACTCTTTTTTTCTCTCCATAAAACAGTGACCACGGATCTCCTCCATAACAACCTCCACAGCAGCCTCTTCCGCCCAACGGACACCACCAGCCGACACCAACACCTACAACGCGACAACCATCCAATGCCGCTCACCCCTGCAGCTGCAACAAAAAAAGAGAGACTGACATAGTAGAGAATCGGGAAGAAGATAAAATACCCCGTGATTGTTTTGTGGATTTTTAGTTTTGCAGGTGATATTGATTCTCACTGCGGGCACATCTTGTTCTCTTTCTCCGCGCCGTTTCTTGCTTCTAATGTTAAAAATTCCCAATTTGAATCCGGTACTGAATAGCTCATTGAAGTTTTTGGAAAATCAAAACTCACTTTTACGGTATGTCTTTTAATCTCTTTTTTCCTTTAATTTCATGTCAATTTTGTTCGATCTCTCGCTCTAATTAGGATTTTATTCATTTTAAAACAATTTGTTACTTGTAATTTCTGGATTTGCCTTGCTTCCTCTTCATTTGCGGGCTAGGTTCAACTCCACAAGCACGGGCAACTGAACTTAAAATCAGGTGCCTTTAGATCTAAAATGATGGAAAGCTATTTTAGGCGTTGAATGAGGAATGCAACATGATTTGAGATTGATTGCCTTTATTTAGTTAGGGATTTGGGTTTAAACCCAACGTTTTTTTTATTTGCTTTGTTGATTTTATAGGCTATGAAGTTTGGAGGGAGATGATACATGCCTGCTCTTTTACCAAGGCTTTGTATGTATATATTTTCTCACCTATTTTTTGCTTATTTTTTTCCTATCCTTTTTTAAGTTATAAGAGCAACTGCGATTGTTTGGGATTTGAACCTTCTCCTTTACTGTCAATATGCTATTATCTAACCTATTTTTACATGCATTGCATTTAGAAATTTGAGGGCTTTAACAGCAAGGAGGTTATTGAGTTTTGGTCTTGACCATCCCAACAAGTGTTGTGTTAGCTCAATAAGAATGGAATCCAGTAGTAATTGCAACCTGAGGGCTAGCAGCAGCGAGTCAAGAGGTGCCTTGATAGTTTTAGAAGGATTGGATCGTAGTGGAAAGACTTCACAATCTAGTAGATTACTGTCTTACTTGGAGGGACTAGGGCATTCGACTGAATTATGGAGATTTCCTAATAGGAGTACTAGTGTTGGACAAATGATATCTGCATATCTTTCGAACAAGTCATGCTTGGATGATCGCACGATCCATCTTCTTTTCAGTGCAAATAGATGGGAAAAGAGGTATGTTTTATTATCAGGGATTGCATGGATTGCTTATATTTATGAGAATAGCTTTGGTGCTTTTTTTGTGTGTGTGTGTGTGTGTTGGGGGGTGGGTGGTGTTAATCAGGTAGCATTATACTCTCTTGGTTTCTCCAGGCTATCTGGGACTTTCTTAATGTGCATCTCAAAAAAATAAGCAATTTTGTACCCACCTTGGTTTCTATTAGGGGTTATCCATTGTCTAAATCTCCTTTAGCTTGACAAAAATCAATAAGAAAATGCATGCGCAAGTGTGCTTCGTAATCCCCCCCCTCCTATTTGTAAAAGAGTCAAATTCCAAGAAATATAACGACTGAATAGCCCTGTTCTCCCCAGTCAGAATTGGCGAGTAATCAAAAGAGAAAAAACTGACGATTTATTCCCCCAAGACCCTCTTTCTTTCCAACTACTGGCCAAGGAAAACTTGGCCAGTCTTCAGCTTACCTGCTTCCCTTTCAGGTCTATTTTTTGCATGTATCAATTGAAGTATTTTGAAATAGACTGAAACACTGTTCTTAGCAGGAGGTAAAAAATCCTCTTTTGGTGACGGTTAAATATTTGAGATTTATTATATTAAGCTTCCTTGAATTCGTGGTTGATGCTCAAAATTTGATCAAATAAGATTTCATTGGAAATGTGTTCTAAAAGTTTAGCATAATGGCTTGTTTGATTACACAACCATGTTCTTGAGGCTTGGATGATGATACACTTTGCTGTTTAGCGTAACTTTTGAGGTTCCACTTCACAAGAATTTTGATTCCAGGAAGTTTCAAGCTAGCGATAGGAAAAAAACAATAAGAAGTGAGTTCTGGACTGTCATTGATTCAAGTTGATTTCATTGCAGAATTCCAATGAATTATTTTCTAGATCGGATGGAATTTTTCAAATGTCAATTTCCTTTTGATGCATATTTCATGCTAGCAAGCCCTTATTCATGAAAGTGCACTTGTATCTTCTTAAAGTCTGTTCTATGGGAAAAGGAGTGGTACATGTCACATAAGCATGGGCTCACATAGTTTTAAAACATGTATTTGGAACGGTTTTGCAGATCATTGATGGAAACTCAACTGAAAAATGGAACCACTCTTGTTGTTGACCGTTATTCTTATTCTGGAGTAGCCTTTTCATCTGCAAAAGGACTTGATATTGAATGGTGCAAGGTGAATTCAAATTGATTTTTTTTTGAAAGGTGCTTTGTCTTTTGTGGTTGTCAAGGTGAATTCAATGAGATGATCTTCATTTGCAGGCACCAGAGGTTGGCTTGCTGGCTCCAGATATTGTTTTGTACCTTGACATACCACCAGAGGTGAGCTGTAGACCACAACCATTTTCTCTAGACGTGGAATACTGCTGAGTTTTAAACATGATCACTCTAGATGTCAGAAACAGAGACGCCCCTAATAAAGCAGACCTTTTCTTCTAGCAGGACTTTCCTGCTGAAAATTAACTGGCTTTGATGGTACTAATTGCATTTGAGTGCCTATAGCTATATCAAAAAATACCATGAGCATTTGTGTGGCCATTTGATATGAGACTGGTTTGGTATATTATGTCATCCACTCACCCACATACATAGATCTTCTAGGGGGTCATGGAAAGTTATGGTAAATGAACACTCAGAAGACACGAGGCATAATCAATATTGTAGATACACCATTTTTAAATGGTGTTTAACTGATAGGAATGAAGTTTGCCTATTTTAGTGCTGGAATATGGATAGTAATATATTGGTTTCCTTTCCTCCATCTAGAATCATGGACTTAGAACATTAAATGAAAACTTTGTTTCTTTCATTATTAAGGTTCAGGATTTGGGCTTATGCATTTTTTTTTCTCTGAATAATTCCTAAAACTATGATGTTAATTCTAAATCATCAGAAAGCTGCTGAAAGAGGAGGCTACGGAGGTGAAAGATATGAGCAACTTGAGTTTCAGAAAAAAGTTGCAAAATGCTATCAGGCCCTGTGTGATTCCTCCTGGAAGGTAATTCTTTCTTTTTACTGTAATAATCAGACCTGCATGGTAGCTTCTTGATTTTGATGCTATCGGTTATCACCTTCAATCCTGAAGCCTTTATCTAACACAAGGTTTCATTATCCTTCTCACCTAACATGGGAACTTTTGAAGTTACGCGGAAGTTCCCAAGCAATGCATATAAGTTATAATTACTGCTGGCTTAAGTGTCTTACCGCCCTCATCCTGTTCTACAATATAAATTCGCCCTCATTTTCATTTCCCTAGCTTCCTTTCCCTCGAAGTAGAAGCTTGTTCTGAACACTAAATGTTGGTCTGATATGATTGCAGGTCATTGATGCTTGCCAACCCATTGAAGATATTGAGAAACAACTGCAAGATGCTGTCCTGGATCATGTCAGGGCATGTGAAAGAGGGAGACCCCTCTCCTATCTGTGGCCTCGTTAATTTTTATCGTGGATGGTTTTAAATGCTTATTTGACAAAGGCAACTCAAATGTTCGATGATGTGTGGTTGGTTGTGTTTTATATTTCGTGTTCAAATATTGTTTTCAGCTTTCCTTTTCCTTATACATTGATGATGGCATAACATTATGGTTTATTTTTCATCCTGAGCTAACGTCTGGTAATGTAGTTACCTCTTTTACTTTGATGTTGTGTGGATAATTGGAGGCCTTCCTGGTTGTGAAATGATAAACAGTTTCCATTGGGTTATGGTTTTGGTTTGGGCCCATTAGTTTTGTGTTCTGAATAATTAAGCTTTCTAGTTCTGGATCTTAAAGTCCACTTGTCTATTTCCTGACCCCTGTTTGTCTTGCAGTTACGATAATCAGATGGCCTATTGGAATGCCATCCAAGTGTCATTCATGAAAATTTCATAAAACGTAAATTGGAGCATGTACATTTCTAATACCTAATGGAAAAGGTAAAAGATTGTAATTGAAACAAGAAATCATGAAGGCATTCATAATTGAAACAAGGTCTTGTGTCCTCGTGAACTTTTTTTTCCTGAAAAACTCAAACTACGATGTTATTTCTAAATCACTAGAAAACTGCAGAAAGAGAAGGCTAACGAGGTGAAAGACAAGCAACTTGAGCTTCAGAAAAAAAATTGCACGATGCTATCAGGCCTTGTGCGATTCCCTCCTGAAAGGTAATTTAATTTTTCACTTTTACGGTAATATGGCCCCTTGATTTTGAAGCTATCGATTATGTCACTTTCAATCGTACCATGAGATGATGGGGTAGAGGCTTTATTTAGAACAAGCTTTCGTTGTCCGTTGCACCTCTGTATTGTGTTTTCTTCAAAAAAAAAAAAAGGTCTTAAGGGTAAATGGAGTGGAAGTTCGTAAGCCATGCATGTAACTACAGTTGTCCCGAGTGTCTCACCATTTTCGTACTGCTCTACAATATAAGTTTTTTATCCTTTATTTTCATTTCCGCAGCTTTCTTCCTTCACACAAGCAGCTGCTATAGGCAATTTCGAAGCTTGTTCTGGGCACAAAATGTCGACATGATATGATTGCAGGTCACTGATGCTTGCCAACCTATTGAAGATACTGGCAAACAAATACAAGATGCTGGACTTGATCGGGTGAAAGGAGACCCCTCGCCTATCTGTCCTTGTTAATTTTTACTGTGGAGGCTGAATTTAATTGCCTATTTGACAAGGCAAGTCAAATATATGATTGTGTCTGTCTTTTATAATTATACCTTTTTTTAAATCAGAAAGAATGTTTCTGAGTTTTATATTTAGCTTCATTAACATATTGGAACTTTGTGCTAGAAATTGTTTTTTTTCTCCCCTTCATATGAGATATAAAGAACATTATTCTTACTTTCTTTAGAAGAAATGAGAGAGCTCGAAATGAAAAAAGAAAACTGCAGATAAAAAAACAAAAAAAAAAACCTATTTCCTACAACGAAACCAAACGCGCTCTTAGTTTTTTCTACACCATCATTGTCTAATGAATAATTTGAATTGATATAATATGCAAGTGTTTGCACATTAATGACTATTATAATTGAGTGCTTATGCTTTATCTTCTTTTAAATTAATGTGAAAAAATTTTATAAGCAAAATAAAGTGGTTTTTTTTACGGCTTACGCTGTAATGGTGAACTGGAAAATATAATATTTATATTTTCTTGAATCCAATATAATATTAATATAATACATATATCTATATATTAATATTTATAATTTTATCAATTTAGTGTATGCACACACACACTTTCTCCATATATATAACTTTTATTTTTATTAAATAATCAATAATAGTAAAAAAATGAATATCCTTATGATACTCTAAACCTAATAAATAAAATATAAATATCTAAATCTTATATCTAATAGACAATGAATAGTATATAAATTTTAAAAAACTCAATACATTGCAAGCCAAAAAAAAAAAGAATAGATTTTTGTTTTCCTCTTATTCTTTTCTTGAAATTAACAAACTAAAATATATTTTATTCGTCTTTGGTATTGTAGTGTATTGTACTTTTTACTTGAAAAATGTTAAAATAATTTTTTTAAATTTTTTTTATTTTTAATATTAGCACATTTAAATCATTGAAAAACTAAAAAAACATCAGTTTAATGCTAACACATTATACATATATATATATATATATATATTGTTTATGCTGATATTAAGGTAGATTGCATGAGAGAAAAGTGAAATCAAAAGGTGTGTTTTGGGTGTTTTTAAAAAATATGTTAGCGTTAAATTGATGTTTTTTTTAGCAATGTTTCACTTTTCTCAATAATCAATCATTCCTTAACCTTAAGAAAGTTTTTAGGAAAAAAAATTGTTAGAATATTCTTCACATGTTACTAGAAAAGAAAAAGAGAAGTAAAAGAAAGAAAAGAGAGGGAGAACTGAAAAATTACTCAACTAAAAAGATTATTTTTCTATTGCTTGCTCATTATTTATTTTTGCATAACTAAGTTCTTGACTAACTAATAAACTAACTTCTAATTATCCTTCCAACTAACTCTAATTATTAACTAACTTTCAATTACATAAAACTATTAACAATCACATGTTGAAATTAACCTTTAAAATCATTTCTGCCACTGTGCACTAATTGTTTAAGTTGGTGTTAGTACCATTCTTAAATCTTTAATATTGTAACAATATCCTTTATATTAAGACATTTTTTCTCTTAAAAATTTATATTAAAATTTAGAAATTGCTTGTTTAATTCCTCTAAGTCTTCCCACCTAGCATTATTATGAAACTCCTTAATTTGTGAAAGTAGAGGGGATTTATCATCCACCAGTATCCTCGGCTTCACAAGGAACTTGTGATTGAAAAACTCCTTAAATATTAATTACTTAATAGGATTTTAGCATAAAAGACTTCATCTTATATCCATATAATTTGGACGCAACTCCTTCAATGTTTATTGTGAAAACCTTAGCTATGTAAATGTCAAAATATTATGGAAAGGTTAATATTGACAATTGCTAATAAATAGAGTTCTTATTTGCACAAAGAAATTAGCCTTGGACTTCAGCTAAATATTAATATAAAAATATTTAATATCCAAATAGTCCTCTCAAACATTGGTCAATCTTTTATGATAAGAAACATACATCTCCTTAGTGATTTTTTTAAATTTGCACAACTAGATAGGTTTCTGCATGTTAAAGAATTGCCACCTATGAGGAATATCCTTATCCTTTTTTTTTTCTTGGATTTAGTCTCTTTATTCTTATCAATGTCCATGTCTTTGGCATCATTTTTTTTTTATTGGTTCATCGTCCTCATCAACTTGTTACAAGATTAGTTGCTGGCAAAATCAAAGAAACTAATGAAGAACATTGAGTTGGATCTTTTTGAATAATATGACCATTAGAATGAAGCTATTAATGATATGCCTCATTTTATCTATACTACACAGAATGTTTTAATTAGTTAACATGATAGGCACATGTAGGCTTATAAGAGAGTTAGTTATTTGTCTTTTAAAATCAATGTATGATTATATTTATTGTAACAAAATTGCTAAAAGATATGCAAATAAAAATAAATAAATGAATGCTTTAATGACTTGATTCTCTCTCTCTTTCACTGCTTCTCTCGTTTTTCCTACCATTAATAACACCATTCTAATCTCTAGAGGACATTAATATAGGTTCCATTAAAGTATCATTTACACATAGTGGTGCCGGAGCCTTTGATCTTTATACTTTATTCATGGTGCTAGACATTAGGTCCTAAGATTTTAGGAAGTTGATGGAGTATTTTAAAGGTGCAAATAAGGAACAATCATAGAGATATGAGCAAGTTTTGGTTTTATTTGAGACATATAAATAGAAATTACAACTCACCAGATTACTCAAGATGCTAATATTGAGGAGCTTAAAGAACTCATTAGTGGGTTGTCTTATCATCAAAATTCTCTATTATAGAAGCTATAAACCAACACTAGAGAGACTAACATAAAAAATAAATACCAACCATTTAGTTAGGAGGATTCAGTAGCTAAATAAACCCAAAAGGAACTTTCTTACTTTTAATAGAGATGATGTTCATAAGTGGTTGTACAAATGCAATCAATACTTCGATATATAAAAAGTTGTTGAAATTGATAAGTTTAAGTTAACTTTTTATTATCTAAATGAAATAGCTTTATATATATTGGCATCAAAATCTTATAAGAAGGAAAATCAAGTAATAACCTGGAGTGAGTATATGAAGGCTATTGCTATAGGTTTGGGTGATAAAAAAATCTAGTAGGAGAACATAAGAATCTCAAGTGGATGGGAGATCTACAGACTTCTTCTTCTTTTTTCTTCTTCTTCTTATTATTATATGGAATAGGGTAGAGATTAATGATAAACAAACTTTAGTGTTTTTTATGAGAGGGCTTAAAGGTTGAAATAAAAAAATTGGTGAAAATTTTTAAACTAAAAGCTTTAAAACAATCTTATAATTTATCACGTCTACAAGAAAATAGCTTATCATATAGAAGATTCCACTTGAACCATTTCAAACTCTTTTCACAAAATAACAATCACATGATCCAATACAAAACTACCAAACACCAAACATCTTACAAAACACCATCTTTGTTGACCTTGAATAACCAAAAACCTAACCAAATTAGATTATTATCTACTTTTAACCAAAACTTTTAATAGAAACCAACCATAAATCCTACCATACCTATAAGGAATAGAGAGTTAGATGAGAGAAGGGCTAAAGGCTTATGTTTTTTATGTGATGAGAAATTTATACCAAATTTTAAGTGTAAAAACAATAAGTTATATTCACCATGTATAGTGAAGGATAAAAATGAGAAGGTGAAGAATAATAATGGGTTTAAGAATAAAACATTCAGTTCTGAACAAATTACCCCACACATGTCCATCAATACCTTAGAAGTAGTCATTAATTTCCTCACTCCAAGGGTTACTGCACAAGTAGATGAACATCTACCTTTTATATTGGTGAATTTAGGCATCACTTACAATTAATTTTATTAACATTCATTTGACCAACAAATTACAGTGTGACCTCTATTGTCATGTTTTGAATTAAAAAAAATAGGAAAAGGCAACAAAGCCCTTGAAGGCTTAAAAAGTAGGTATAAATAAATAAGAGGTATTATGGTAATTCAACAAACTTGATAAATATAA